AGTTTCCTCCTGCTCATAAATCCTGCAATTTCACTCTATTTAATCCAAGGGCAGAATTTTGCTCCCCACTTTGCTGTACTCATTGTATAGAACAAGTGGTCCTAGAAAAGATGGCTACAAAAATGAATTCCTGTAAAGCATCCATCATTACAAAAATCAAAGATCTAAAGATCTAATTTTACTAATATTATTCCCAATTGGCCTGAGTTAGAAATATTTGGGCTTTAATATACTGGGAGAAGGGAGATGTATATAACTATAATCACATACATGGGGAAATGGGAGAAATAAGAAAATGGCCACAATGAAATCAAAGACTACTTAGAATAGATATCTCTGGATGATAAAATAGGTATCTCTGCAAGGTGCATACATTACTTTCGTAGCATAAAACAGACCTGTTAGGAGATGTATTTGGATCTGAACAGTAGCTAAAAATTTCCCCAGTTCAATTTTTTTTTTTGTTACATTTGAATGTCATTTCTATTCAGGCATATGTAGTTCCATGTCCTGGAGACTGAGCACTAATACTAGCCTGCTATGGCTCCTTCCAGGCACCTGATATCCTAAGGCGGTTGGGCTGCTGTAATAGAATGTCACAGACTGATGATTTACAAAAATTTCTGTCTCACACTTCTGGAGACTAGGAAGTCCAAGGTCAAGGTATTAGCAAATTCAATGACTGATGAGGACTTCGTGGTTCACAGACAGGTGTCTTCTCCTGTGTTCTCCATGACAGAAGGGGCAGGGGCACTCTCTGGTGTCTCTTTCATAAAGGCACTGATCCCATTCACAAGGGCTTCACCCTCATGCCAATCATCTTTCCTAGGTCCCACTGCATAATACCATCACATTAGGTATTAGGAGCTAACATGTGAATTTTGGGGAGTCACAAACATCCAGCCTCTAACTACTGCCAACCAAAGATGTGGCCTGTGGGCTTTGATAGCAGAGATCTATTATTCCTCAAACTCAAACATATGTATCAAGTTCTGCTCAGACAACGGGAATATACACTAGGCATGTGTTGGTGTGGATGGACTGGCCAATAAAAAATGTCACAATGGAACAGTCCACACCCCAATCAATAGCTCTAATAAGCTTCATCAGAGACCTTGTGGAGTCAAAATACTCCCTTCATGGGGCACACACACACAGCACCTTCCTCGGCATCACTGTGATGCTCCACATACGAGGCAGAAAGCCAACCCCATGAAATCCTCTTGGTAGAAAAATGGAAACACTAAATGAGCAAAGCAAAAGTAGATAGGTCAGTGCTGGTTGTTGTCCATGTGAGGTGTCTTGTTCTCTGCGAAACTCTGATTTTAGGATAGCTCATTCATCTGTTCATTCAATTAATAAAAACAAAAAGTAAGCACTTACATAATACCTACTCTGTCAGTCACTGCGCAAAGCACTCAACTCATATTAACTCATTTAATCCAGGGCCATGATCCTAATAATATCTCAGCCAATATCCTAATAATATCCTAATAACTATCTCAGTTGATAGTTAAGGAAATAGAGGCACAGAGAAGTCAAGCAAGGTCACACAGCTGGTAAGTGTCAGAATTATAATTTGAAGTCAAGTCACCAGTCTTCACAATCTTGATCATAGTACTCGCCTGACTCTAGTGAAGATTTGTTTAACCAGACACAGTTAGGTCCAACAGTTCATGACTGAGCTAAGCCCTCATTCTATGAATCTGTGAAATTAGTGTTATCTGTCCTGGTCTCTCCGCTGGGTTCCTAGCATGACTGAGTCTTTTGTTGCCATTTTATTCCTCTCCAGGACTGAACAACTCTTCAGCTTTGCAAAACCAAGGTCATTCATCCCTTTTGCATTTCTTCACCTCTCATTCACTCAACAAGAAGATGTGCATTCATTCTTTAACTCATGAATTCATGCAATCAAAGTTTATCGAGTGCCTACTCTGAGCCACAATCTGTGCTGGGTGCTGGGACTCTGTGATATATAAAAGAGGCCAGGGGGCCTCCCCTGGTGGCGCAGCAGTTGAGTGCTGGGCTGCAAAGCTGCCCGCAGCCTCTGCAGCACCAGTTCAATCCCTGGCCACTGGCGAAGGTCCCACATGGTGCAACAGAACTCTCCTGCCATGCCTGCTTCTCCCCTCAGCAGTGTATGTCATTAGTCTGCCTGTTCTGTTTCCCGCTCTGGCTCTGGTGAATTCTCTCCCTCCCGCGCTTCTGACTGTACCCAGTGCTTGTATAAATAAATAAATGAATCTTTAAAAAAAAAAAAAAAGAGGCAAGGTCACTGTCTTCGTGAAGCTCTGATAGGAAAGATGGACAAGGAGACCTGCAAAAAACAAACAAAATGTCCGTCAATGGATGGGTGGAAAAACAATTGTGGTATATAAATACAATGGGATTCAGCTATAAAAAGAAATAAAGTACTGAAGCATGCGGCAGTTTGAAGAAACCTTGAAAATATGCTGAGTGAAAGAGGCCAAACACAAAGTTCCCAGAGTATATGGTAAATTTACTGGATATACGCAAAACAGGCAAATCCACAGAGACAGAAAGTAGATTAGTGGGTGCCAGGAGCCATGGGGAGAGAATGGAGAGTAAATGGTTATGAGGGTGAGATTTTATTTTGGGATGATGGAAATATTTTAGAATTAGATAGAGACTGGTAGATGCACAACATTGTGAATGTGCTAAATGTCTCTGAATTGTTCACTTTAAAATGTTTAATTGTATTTGTGAGAATTTCACTTAAAAGAAAGCAAATAAAATAATCACAGTATGTGACTGATGCCATCCATTCATCCCATGTATAAAAAGAACCTGTGAGCCATGCTAGGCACTAAAGATTTCAGACCAGCTGGATCCTACTTGCAAGGCTTTTAGAATCTTCTAGGTAGATGGGGAAAGTCAAAAATTTAAAGTAAACTACTTTGAGATAATGGTGAGTACTTTGAAGACACTATATGAAGGAACTGTGAGACTAAGAGAGCTGGATCAAGTACTCAAGGAAGACCTGCCTAAGATGTGCGACATCCCCCTCCCAAGGACACTAGGCAGGCAAAAATTTCGACGGAAAGAGATTCAACCAAAAGGATCACATCAAGAGCAAGTGCTAAGGCACATGCTAGTAGGAACTAGCATGACAAATTGTAGGAGCACAAAGATGGTCAGGGAGGCCAGGGCACCAAGCGCCAGCCCTCGGGGTGGGAGATAAAAGGTAAGTTAATGCAGGGAAAGCTGGCCATGCAGAGCCTTGCAACTAGAGTCTAGTTTTATTTATACACACTGGGATTAACTGATGGGTTTTAAGTAAAAAAAACTGATGTGTTCTAGTTTAAAACATAAAACTGGCTGTGATGTGGAGTATGCTTTTAAGGAGGTAAGAGGGAGTGGGCAAGCAGGGAGACCAGGAAAGTGAGAGGATGATGGGAGTAAGAATGCTGGGGGTTCCTAGGTATCTACCAGAAGAACACAGAAACACTAATTCAAGGGAAACATGTACTCCTTTGCTCGTTGCAGCACTATTTACAATAGCCAAATATGGCAACAACCTAAATGCCCAAAGACAAATGAGTGAATCGAGAACATGTAGAATATATATATGGAATACTGCCCATTTATACAAATAGATAAGTTCTTGCATTTGTTACAACAGGGATGGAACTGGAGGGGATTGTGTGAGAAGGAAAAAGTATCACTTATATATAGAATATGGAGAAACCAAAGAAAGAGTCAGATAGAGCCAAACTAACAAAATACCCTGGAAAGCTGGCTATAGAACTGAGCTATCAGGGTAAGTGGAGAGGTGAGAACAACATGAGGAGGGATCACAATGGGGAGGGACTGGGGGTTTTGGTGGTGGGTGTGGTGTAGTAACAACACCTGAAGAGGGACATCCTAGATCTCTAAATCACAAACAATGTTGTAAACCAATGTTACCTCAATTGGAAAAAAAACTAATCTATCGGAAATTTGGATCCCTTGAAATTGTAATCCAGACTTGTAATAGCAAAACAATCCATGTCCTAACTAATGTCTCGGAATCTCTTAGACTGCACTCCAGCTAAACCTTTGCATTTGGAAAGTTTTACCCTTTTCTCTGAAATAATAATGCTTTATAAAAAAGAAAAAAGAATGCTGGTGGTAGTAATGGAGAAAACAAATGTTCACACTGGGGATAAATTTTGAAGATAACACAGGCAGAATTTGGTGGGTTGGAACTGGAAGTGAAAAAAGAAGGAAGCTTCCTAAGTTTTTAACATGAGCAACTGGGGTGGGTTGTTGTTGAGTCAGAAACCTGCCAGGCCAGCATGTTCCCCAAGGGATAAGTTGTAGAACAGATTTGCAAGGCAAGCGCTCTTGCTATTTATTAGCAGTAACAAACAAGTGTGATTGATTATGTGACAATGAGCAGCAGGAACAGCATCCAGGGGAGACAAAGGTAATCAATTTTTATGGGGAGTTGGAAAGGACATGTTGGCCACCTACATGGGGAGGATTTCCTGTGCAGGTACTTGTTGTAATTTCGGAGCTACTCTCAGGCCACCGTCAGTCAATGCCTACCTAAGCATCCAGGCTGCCTCTTGATGTGGGCCATTGTCTTAGGGCAGTTATGCAGGAGTGTTTCTTTCAAACCCTACAGCACAGGTGCATAGAGAGGCCACATGGGGTGTGCAGAAAAGCCACAGGTGGTAGACCAACTATCAACTCAAAGAACATTCAAGGAGAAAAAAAATTGGAGAGTTCAGTAAAAGTTTGGTTTTGGTCCTTCTGCGTCTGAGTTGCCTACTGATTGCCCAAGATGCCACCTCAGGAAGGAAACAAGGTGTTGGACGATTATGTAGGAAGGATGGAGGGCAGTTGTCTCTGCCCTTCCCCAGACTCTGACCTGCTATCTCTGTTGAGGGAATTACTCGTCTTAAGAGTCTCTGGGGAGCCTTCCTGAAGCCTTCCCCCTCCCCCACCTCTGGAACTCTGCCAGCGCTGTTGCCTGTCGCCCTGGTGATGGGGGTGGGCACGCCCAGCTTCATTCACTCTTCAGACCCGAAAGGAGTTCGGCTAGGTTGGAGGTCCCTGCAACTCCCCGCGAAGGTCCTGGGCCAGAGGCGGGCATCCAGCGAGGACCATGCCAGTCTTGATACCCCCTGCTGAGCGCAGCCAGGACACTCGCGTTGGGGCTCCAGCATGGCGCGAGGCGGCCAAGGTCATCACGCGGAAGGCGCGCCAGCTGACCGACCGCTGCGGGAGGGAGGCAGTGACCCTCTGGCAACCCGAGGACAGCGTGCGGGACCCACACGTGGCGAGCCACCTCAGCCGCGCCGCCTACATCCTTCCTTGGCGCTTCCGCGTGGAGATGCTCAAAGGTGGTGGCACCTTAGAGAAGCCGCCGCCGGGTGAGGGCGTCACTTTGTGGAAGAGCAAGATGAAGCCACCAGTCTGGCACGCACGCTTACCGCTGCCCATGCACCGCGACGCGCGGGCCCTGCAGACGGCGGAGGTGGTGCACGCACACACGCGCGGAGCGCGCCTCACCGCTGCCCGCCTGGGCCGCGCACAGCACCAGATCAACGCGCAGCTGCAGCTCCTGCAGCGCCAGCGGGACGCTACCGACCACCGGCTCAGCGAAGTGCGCAAAGGGCTGCTCATTAACCAGCAGAGCGTCAAGCTGCGGAACTACCGACCCAAGTCTGAGAAGGTGGGACCACAGCCCCCAAAAAACCCAGTAGCAAAGACTGTCTCTATTCCTAGATACAGACCAGGGGAAAAACCCTCCCCAAAGAGCGAACAGTCTCCCCCAACCTCCAGCTCAGTGGTAGGGACACAATAAGATGAGGATATGCACAAGATGAGGGGCCTTGTCAGCAGCCCCACAGGGTGAGACTCTTCCAAGGGGATTGGATCCTCAGATCCCTTGTTCCAGAGGGGGAACCTATTCTAGTCACCCAGCAGGAGAGAAGGTGACACATATGAGTTAGACTAGGTGCAACTCTACCCAACGGGTAAAGCCCATAACTTCACACAGGCATAAAATCACCCACACAGTCCCCGGGCATAGAGGATCCCATAGGCATGAGTGCCCCAACCCCAGTAAAAACACACCCAAAGACCCCAGCTGAGGGAAGTGGGCGATGCCCTTGGTTCCAGCCCAGATGAAACTCTCCCCAAAACGTTTATTTTAAAAACCCAAACCCTCTCTCCAGCTTCCAGGAACAAGAGCCCCTTTCAGGCCTCATCTGAGAAAAGAACACATCCTGCCTACAGGTTTAGACCCTCAGACTCTCAGCCCCCAAGCCCAAGAGTTAAGCCATAGGAAAAGAATGTCCAGTCCCAGCCCTGGTGAAATCCTCCCAAATCCCCACCCCAAAAGGGGAGGACATTCCAGCCTTCCTGAAGAGCGGTGATACCCCACCACAGAGTGGGATTCCTACTCCCAGCCACCAAATCCAGATAGTAAGATGCCAAAAAGGCAAACCCTCATCACCCCTAAAATGATGAGAGCCCTTCACTTCTTGCCAGAGAGGAGGGATAACCCCACCACTACAGAAGGTGGACCCCCAGGCCCAGAGAGTGAGAACAACCTGCCTCTAAATTGTCACCACCACAGCTCACTGGACTCTTACCTGTAAAGAGAAAAGCCTCCAGTCCTACTCTCCAAGAGGATAAGACACGCCCCCCTTCTGCCCCACAAGTCTGAGTCCCCTGAAAAAATAAACCCTTCTCAGAGTGAGATCCCCAAAGGATGACAGTAACCCTAACTCCTCCAGGCCCAGTTTGTGAGGTTGGCAAACCCTCCACGGCCCTGGAAATCAACCCTTCTCCCAAAGGAGTGAAAAATTCTCTTGTTTTCTAGATTCCAGACAAAGCTGACAGTATGCTTAGGTGGGAGAAGGAGGAGCTAAGGGGCATGAAGAGGAAGATGGAGAAAGACATGGAAAAATCAGAGGCCATGCTCAAGGTTGGGAATAGCTGGGGCCGCGTTAAGACGACTGGGGTGTGGGGGGAGCAAATGTCTCTGACATTGGGACTATAGCAACAGCAAACCCTCCATCCACACACGGCCCTCCCTGACTGGAAACCTTATTTCCACTTTGTGAAATGGAAAAACTGGGCCTTGAAGAGATGGAGGGGAGCCTACAAATAACAGTGGCCATCCCCTCTGTGCCAAACCCTATGGAGTCCTTGAGTTAACTCCTTAAAATACTCCTGTGAAATGGAAACTACAATCTCCTTATTAATGATAAGGGCATTGAGGCTCAGAGAGAGATGGCACACCCAAGGCATAGAGCTAGCCAGTGGCAAGACATGGTTTCAGCTCAGGTGCCTTTTATTTCCTTTACTGAGATATAATTACTGAGATACAATTGACAAAATTTGTTTATGCACAGGTATATAACTTCATGATTCAATATGTATAGTAGTGAAATAAAAGGACAATTGAAGTAATTAGCATATTCATCACCTCACACAATTACCTCTTTGTGTGTATAATGAGAACACTTACCATCTCTCCCCTTAGCAAATTTCTATTCTAAAATAACAGCATTATTAGCCGTTGTTACATGATTATACATTTGGTCTCCTTAGGTCTTGGGACTGTGATCGTCTTGCCTAACTGAAACTCTGTACCCCTTTACCAACATCTCCCCATTTCTCCCTCCCCCCAGCTCCTGGGAACTGTCACCCTACTTGTTCTTCTATGAATTTTACTATTTGAGATTCCATATACAAGTGAGATTGTGCAGTGTTGGTCTTTCTGCACCTGGCTTTTTTTACTTAGCATAATATCCTCCAGGTTCATCCATATTATCACAAATGGCAATACTTTTTTAAGGCTGAGTAATATTCCAATTCAATAATATTCCAATTTATGACATGTTTTTTGTGTATCACCCATTGATGACCATTTCCACATCATGGCTATTCCACATCTAAGCTGAAATGAACGGGAGTATAGGTATATCCTCCAGATCCCGATCCTCTGGATCTATGCCCAGCAAAGAACTGCCTTCTAATTCAGCTCAGGTGTCTTGAGTTTAGCACTTTACAAGTGTTCCCTTTTTGACAACTCCAACCAAAGATGAACTTTCACTGCATTCTTTACTCTTGCAACCAAGATCTCTTTTTGAGGGCACTAATGAAAATGAGAGAGTGGCCAGGTTTCACAGAGCCTTTAGGATTAGTTAGGCTTAGCCCATAACCTGTATGTGTGCCTTGACTTATCCATTTAATAAATATTAACCCAGTACTCTAGTGTACCAGGCACTGTACTTAGCTTTGGAGACAAAGTACTGAACACGACAGAGCTGGCCTTGTCTTCTCAGGATTCACCTTATAAGGGCTTCTCCAAAAAAGGAACTGGCCAGGATTGGAAGGTGGTATTGGGGGCTGGGAGATACTTATGGGCTGGGGCCTTAAACTCTTGTCTTTGATGCTAATTGCTTTCATTGCAATCATCTCAATAAGCAGGGGTTATTGCTAGAGAGGAGACATAACCCCATCACTACAGAAGCTGGACCCCCCAGGCCCAGACAGTGAGAACAATCTGCCTCTAAATTGTCACCACCCCAGCTCACTGGACTCCTGCCTGTAAAGAGAAAAGCTTCCAGCCCTACTCTCCAAGAGGATAAGACACTCCCCCACCCCACCCCTACCCGACAAGTGTGAGTCAAGGTATTGTCAGGGCACTATGGTATTCCTCTAAATCTGGTGATTGCAAAAAATCCTTCCAGAAAGTCTGAAAGAGATTTGGGGCAGGCTGTGTGGGGGAGATCCTATAAGCCCTGTAGGATGGGGTTGAAAGAGAGTAAGGGGGCTACAAAGATGAGAAAAGATGGAATAGAAAAAAAGAAACAGACAGGCTGCCAAGAGAGAACTGGGTTGTAAATATTTCTGGACTAAAATACTTACCTCCAAGCAAATAGATTTCAACTTAAAATCATGAACTCAAAGCTTTTAGACACTCAGAACTTTCCCAGGGATCTCACCTGGGCTCTCCAACCTAACGTGCAAGTTATGTCCTACCTTCTCCTCTTCCAAGAGTTTTCCTCACTCTCAATGAATGACCCCACTGTCTGGCAGCCACTGAAGGGAACCTCTCTCATTTTTCCTCTGCCATCCACTAACTCCAGCTACCTCCGCCCCCACCTTCACCCCTGTCTTATCCATCATAATGTTTCCTTCTCTGTTGAATCCTTCTCAACAGTAAACAAGTGGGAATTATTCTTTAATAGGTAAAGATCTATTTGAGATGATGAAAAAGTTCTGGAGATGGAAAAAGGTGCTGGTTGCACATTACACTCGTGTGCTTCATGCTGCTGGATTGCGTGCTTAACAAGAGAGGAAGGCAAACTTCGTGATGTCTGATTTACCACAATGTAAAAAAGCCCACTTTTCTTGATCCCAGATAATCCCCACTTCTCTGATTCACTCATTAGTCAATCTCATCTGACCTGACCCTTTTCTTTGGCACAGGTACTGGGCTGACTTCCCCACTTCATCCCCACCACCATCACCCAACACACAGGAGCGGCCTGATGAGTACTTGAATTAATAAACAAAAGACATTTTAAACCCATTTTTCATCCAAATGAATGAATTCCAAAGATATGATTTTCTGCTAAAGACATAAAGAGTACACACCGTATGGTCCTATTTACAGGAAATTATAGGTCTCACAAGCTTTTTCTTAAAGTCAGAAAACATGTCAATATTTTAAGTTTTGTGTGCAACACAGTCTCTATCACAACTACTTAATTCATTCAGTGTAGCACAAAAAACACCAGAGATAAAGAGGATGTCACTGAGAGTGACCACGTTCCTATAGAGTTTTTTTACAAAACAGATAGCTAGTCCACAGCTGCATTTCGTAAACTGTTAAAGAACATGAGAAATGAACCTACAAGGCAGCTTGGTGGGGACAAGGAAAATGGCACTAGTGACATTTCTTTATAGTCTATATTTTGATGATAGTGGTGTTTCTATAGGCATATACATTTGCAAAAAACAAAACTTCTCTTAAGATAACCTTCAATCAATTGCAAGTATTAAAGGAATGCAATACAGTAGGCCCCCTAATCTGCAGTTTCACTGCCCGTGATTTCCATTCCTCTTGATCCAAAAATAGTATCAATAAAAGATATTTTGAGAGAGAGACTACATTCACTTAACTTGTATTAAATATATTGATACCATTGTTGTATTTTATTATTAAGTATTGCTTTCACTCTCTCATTGTGCCTAATTTATATATTTAACTCTCTCCTCAAACTTTATGTCTCAGAATCATGGTATAGTATAGGCTTTGGTCCTGTGGTTTCAGGCATCCCCTGGGGATCCTGACATATTTCTGGAGGATAAGGGGGCCTACTTATTTTACAAGGGGATATATTTTTTAATTGAGATAACATTGGTTCACAAGAATTCCAGCTCTTTTAAGAACTGTGTAGGCTTTTTTGGATAACACTTTTCCCCCACACCATCCCTGATTTCCCCTTGTCCCTTTCCTCACCCGCCCCCTTCCCTCTTACCCTTTTATTGATGTCCTCTAGCTTTTGTAAGTATCTGACTTTATCAAATATCTGTTATGTAAATGTCTGGCATTGTTCTTTTTTTAATTTTTTTTATTTTTAAACAATATTTGCTTCCCCCACCCCCTCCAGTTGAGTCCCCATAGAATTTCCTTCCCCAAGGCACCATGCACCATCACCACAGTCCCCTGTGCTCTTCCCTCCCTCCCTCTGATCCCTCTCCCTCCTCCTCCCCTGCAGTATGTCTCTGATTTGTAAATGTCTGTTTTTGCTTTGTTGTGTTTTGTACTGTTATTTTTTTTTTACACTGATGTCTTACTTGGTTCCCCTATATTCCTGTTATAAGTGAAACCATCCAATATTTTTCTTTTTCCTTCTGGCTTATTTCACTGAGCAGAATTCCTTCTAGCTCCATCCACGTTGCTGCAAATGGCATGAGTTTATCTTTTTTTGATTGCTGAATAATATTCCATTGTGTATATATACCACATCTTCTTGATCCAATCATCTATTTTTGGGCATTTGGGTTGTTTCCAGGTTTTACCTATTGTAAATAGCGCTGCAATAAACATAGGTGTGCAGGTGTTCTTTCGAATCAATGTTTTTGTGTCCTTTGGGTAGATACCTAGTAGTAGAATTGCCGTGTTGTATGGTAGCTCCATTTTTAGTAGACTGAGGAAACTCCAGACAGCTTTCCATAGTCATTGGACCAGTTTGCACTCCCATGACTAGTATTGTTCCTATCATTCCGACTTTCTTTACTACACATAACTCTCTCAAACTCCCTCCACTTTGTGAAAATGGCTGCATCTCATCTTTCCTTATAGCTGAATAATATTCCAAAGGATGTATATACCATATTTTGATTCAGGTGTCTATTGATGAACATTAAGGCTGCTTTTATGTCCTGCTTTTACAAATAAAGCAGCTATGAATACTGTGGAACACAAGGTTTTTTTCACTGATGGTTTCATATTCTTTGGATAGATGCCCAAGTATGGGTTGTGGGTATATACTTGTTCATAAGTTATCCCTTGTAATCCTTTGTATTTCTGTGCTATCTATGGTGATTTCATCTGTTTCTTCTGTGACACTATCATTTTGTCTCTTTTCTTTTTAGCTTTGTGAAAGATTTTTCTATTTTGTTTATCTTCTTGAAGAACCAACTTTTAGTTTCATTGATTTTTTTAGTCTTTTTGACACCCATTTTATTTATTTCCACTTTGGTTTTACTATTTCCTTCCTTCTACTAATTTTAGATCTTATTCATTCCTCTTTTTAAATTGCTTTTGGTTTAGTATTAGGTTTTTCATTGGGGATTTTTCATGCTGCTTAATGTCAGCATGTAGTGCAAGGATTTTCCCTCTTAAGACCATGTTGCTGCGGAGCAAAGAAAGTTTGTTCAATAAATGGTGCTGGGAAAACTGGG